CCTGTTCGGCAAAGGTGTCAGCAGCACTAGCAGAATTTCGCAGACTGGCGAAGCCTTTGCTGGCGAGACCGCTACCGCCACCCTTCGAGGCGACCTCTGTCTCGGCCTCGGAGGACTCACTGCCCGTGGGGCTTCCCTGGCACTCCGTGGGGGGCAGGTCAAGGACCAGGTCAGGGGTGTGCTTAGCAAGAGGCATACGCATCTTCTTTTCCAGTTCTCGCGCCCGCAGCGACGAGGTGATAGTGTCGGCGCGGCCCACACTGTTGCGTTCCTTCTCCATGTTCGCCAACCCATTCATGACCTAAAAGGAAGAAAAATGTGAAAAACAACCGGATCAATCAATCCACCTGTGTACACTAGGTGACCTAACTAATACAGAATCGTGATCGAAATTCGAGTTTGTAATTTAGCTTACACTTGGTTATGTAAAAAACCCCTAATATAACGAGGAAAGTGCACTTTTTATGTCCAGCTGAAAGTTCGTCTTCGATTTTAAGGAAAATCAAGAATAATCGAACTTTGCCATTTTTTATTTGAAGTTACCTTGGAAAAACAGGTAATTTAGACAGATGATCGTCAGCTAAATGCTGAACTTAAGTTACTTTTAAAGAGGTAACTTACTATAAAAGTATTTACTTGGTCTTAAGCGTATAAATATTTGACTTTGTCGTGAAGTTCATTTTTCCCGGCAATGAGTTTTCATGTTAGGATGACTTTAATAACTAATATCTAAAGCAGACTGGTCGACAAATGTCTCCATCCCTACCCTCCTCCTCATTCCCAAAATAGAAGACCTAGAGTCCTAACAGGACTTGGTCGGGGCCAAATTACTCCGTCTCGTGTGTAAAATAATGGAAAGCATTATCAAGAGGCATTTACTGGGATGCCTGAGAAGAAACGAAATAGTATGTGATGGAAAGCACGGCTTTCGTCCAGGACGTTATTGCCTCACCAAAAAGTATTCGGCCTCGCAGGCTCTGGGGAATGTCAAACGCTCTTCAAGTGTTTCGGGCAGTATTTGTGATTGTCAAGCAGTTAGGTA